GCAATAAACTTCCAGGATTCACACAGTTTCATTTTATGGCTTGTAATCCCAGTTTGAAGCAACCATCTGAGGAAATAGTAGACTGCATTTAACTTCTTCCTTTCTCAACAACAACATCTAAACTTAACAAGAGATGGGGTGGGTGGAGACCCACAATGCAATCTCATACGTGCATACTCAAAAGGAAGCCCCATTAAGTTCACTGGACCGTGATCCCGAGTAAGTGACTGTAGGATCACAACCTAAATTAAATTGCCGGAATTTATTTTTACAAAAATTAATTGCATACATAACTTACCCCTGGTGCTACAGGAGGGAGAAGTTCAAGATGTCAGTGGTGTCTTTAGTAGTGGTGAAAGAACATTATTGGACATAAACCAAACGTGATGAGTAAAGTACAGTGGTGCCTCGCTTAGCGATCGCTCAGTTGAGCAATGAAATTGCTTAGCGATGGACTTCTGGCCATCGCTGGAGCAATCGCTTAGCGATGGCCCCTATGGGTAAAAATCGTTTTGCGATGATTCATAATGTTCATTTTTCCATAAATTTGGGTTACTAGACATCTGTTTTAAAATGTCTTTGAATTTTCTACTTAAAATACTTACTGGATCTTTAAAATTCAGTATTTAAATAGATAAGAAAGGACAAGTTGCTTTAACTGAATTTTTGAGTGATTGTCTCAATGAATTCTTCACGTTATCTTTGAAATATGGGGAAATCATACTTAAAAATAAATATTTTATGCAGATTTGGATAGTGAGTCATTCTTCCCAGATGCAAGCATTTCCAGCAAATTCTCTTCAGGAATAGTTTAAGGATTCAGTATTGGATTTGGAAATATTTTTCTCACTCCACATTACAAAATTTCTTAGGCAATGCTGGACAGTTATGGATCAGGGAGGCTGTGGCTGGTGTTCACATTTTCATCTGCATGAATTCTAGAATACTTTCTGAGTTGAACTTCTGAGTTGCATGCTTTAACATTTAGCCACCAGTCATTGTCATTTACTGAACAATACTTCCTGGAAGGGGAATTGGATATCTACAGGGGTCTCGTTGGTAATTGCCAGGTGTGAAATGCCACATCATCAATTATAGGGGCCCAGGAAACAATCAGTCTCTTTCTTTTGGAACGATATTTTACTGAATAAATTGGATGGTCTACAAAATGGTCTCTTCTGCTCACTACCATTCAAACGTGTTGAAAAACAGCCCTGACAATTGCTTTGTGTTTGGGTGATGAAAAAAATTAGTCAGCTTCTGGGATTTTCCTATTATGAATGATAGTGAATCTCTCTGTGCCAAAATATTTTGAAGCATTATTTTTGGACTGAACGAAATTGTGAAAGAAAGGTGTGAATAAGTACAACAGATATAATGGAGAAACGTACACACTCTTTAACCTCTCAACTAAACTAAAGTTGCCATGTCCACTCTGTAAAATGCAGACTAGAAAGTTATGGTCCAATTTCCAAACACTTTCCTTTGGGTAGGCAACTTGAAGAAGAGAAGAAGAGCTAAAATGAGACAGATTGTCTTAATAAAAGAAGGTATAGTTGTGAGTTCCCAAGACCTGAGCAGAACGTACTGGAAAAGACAATCTTGCAAGCAAGGGGGAGCAGAAGGAAGAGGGAACAGCCTAACGTAAGTTGCTGTTTGTTTTCAAAGTCTGAGCAGAATTCTTAATTATAGGACATTTTGGAGATCATTAACTCGTATAGTCACCACATATCAGAGATGGCTTGATGACACATAACAATGCTGGAGGTTGTTTTTTTAAAAACCACCAAACACTTACATAGTGACAAGACAGATGAAATGGTTGAGATTCTTCTAGGATATAGGCACCAAAGCTCTGCTAGCATCAAGTAAGACATTCCCAGCCACAAAGCAAAACAATGTAAATTCACTGCTTAAATGAGAGAGCTTCCAAATATTTGTTCTTTATCCTTCATTTTAATATTTTTACAACCAGACACAGAATTCCTAGCATGAATGCCTTTTTGGCCAGGGAGGAATTAAAAATTCAATTGGGTCCTGATTGACAGGTCCAAAATTTCAGATTGCAGGAGACCTGGAGCTGATTTCCCTTTTGAAAACTTGTGTCAGGAGCCTAATCTCAGAAATCCTGAGAGAATGTTTACCACAGACCACCAGAAAGGCAGATACTATATATTTTATCGGTCCTGCGAGGAGTTGGCTGCTCCACTGCTAAGCCCAACACCTTCGCAACACAAAGGACAAGTTGGGAGTAGGAGGTATAATCCTCCGATGGAGAAGGACGATGATTTTCCACTACCTCCGATCCTGGTGTAGGAACATTAGATGGAGAGTCTTCGTCAAGTCTGAGTCCACAGGGGCCAAATCCAGGGAAGGCGAATAGCCCGAATGAGACAGGGCTGAAACATGAGCCCTGGTATCCGTACGGAGCCCCCGCGCATCATCATCATCTCTTGTACGGGATGCTAGACAGAGACCTAGCAGGATCCACCACTGACGTTGATCTTAAAACGCCCTCCGAGACGGATACCGGGACGACGAGCATGCTTCAAGCTTCAATAGGAGACGAGTAATCATGAGGCAGAGGTCTCTTATGGGGTCAAGGAGGAGGCAGGGCATAAGCGCCTCCTTCAGGACCAGGAAACCGGTAATCTATATGATGATACGGAGGCAGAGACGAAGATGGAGAATAGACCACAAAGTAGTCATAAGGGTGTTGGTACTGGTAATACAAATCCGCCCTGTAGAATATAGAATAGGTCTATGAATCAAAGTCAAAATCATCTGGCTCAAAATAGGACCTAGGGTTGTAATATCACCTCCTCTTGGCATCTTGGGCTCAATATTCAACCTTGTAAATGCTCCGGGGTCGAAGGGGCTGTGGATCCGCTGGCAGCTCCAAATGCCACGTCTTCTGCATCCTCTTCCTTGGTACCTCGAGTTGTGCTGGGCCAACTAACATAGTGTCCATAGGAACATACATTCGGTAGTTGACCGGGCAGAACTTCACCAAGACAATCAAAGAAAGGACTGCAAAGAACATAGTAAGTATTCCCTTAATTTATATTTCCTTTTAACCAATCAAATCAGGGTTTGCTTTAGGATAGCTTATCCCTCCCGACTGTGTTCCTCTAGTCATGTAGGCAGTGACTCAGTACTTAATTAATGTCACCTGTACAAACCATAATCAATTGCTAATTCCAACATATTTCTTTAAGGCCTAACAGTTGAGTATGGGATGGGTCTTAAGCGGCCAGTAGGTGGAGGTTGTATGAACTCCAGAAGGTATCCATAGCGAATGATGGCCAGCACCCATTTTTTGTTGGTGATGAGGGACCACTTGTGGAAGAAGGGGGCCAGATGGGGTTGGGAGTGTGTAGCATGTCGGATCTCGGGAGCTGGGAATATCAAGCTTTCTATCCTCTCTGTTGGTAGAGTCTACCGAAGAGCAGTTTCAGGCTTGAAACTGTACTCAACGATGATGGAGGTAAGTTAGTGGATGCTTGGCCAGAAAAGCTGTATCAGTTCCATGGGTATGGTACAGATTTGGAGACAAGAGGAAGGTTTACCCTATGATTTTTATCAGATCCAACATAGCATGGATAAAGGCAAGGCTTAGTGGTGGCGCTGTGGGCTAAACCGCAGAAGCCTGTGCTGCAGGGTCAGAAGACCAGCAGTCGTAAGTTCGAATCCACGCAACGGAGTGAGCTCCCGTCACTTTGTCCCAGCTCCTGCCAACCTAGCGGTTCGAAAGCATGCAAATGCGAGTAGATAAATAGGTACCACCTCGGTGGGAAGGTAAACAGCGTTCCGTGTCTAAATCACACTGGCCATGTGACCACGGAAAGATTGTCTTTGGACAAACGCTGGCTCTATGGCTTGGAAACGGGGATGAGCGCCGCCCCCTAGAGTCGAACACGACTGGACAAAAATTGTCAAGGGGAACCTTTACCTTTACCTTACCTTAGTGGTGGAGACTTGTCTTGATTAATGTAGTTGAAAACAAGGTCTTGTTTAGGTGGAGGTGGTTGCTCGACCTGGAGTTTGAGGAACTTAGCCATACATAGGATCGATCAGCTGCGAGTAAGAGGTGAAATCCTGTGACGGCGAGCTTTCTTCTGCTTAACCTGGTCTTTCTTCCGCTTGGGCTCTCGAGCCGGTGCCGAAGGGGCCTTCAAGATTGATGTCGACTTCGACGGCAGCTTGGAAGCAGATTTTTTGCTTCGGGGATGGCGTAGGCAGGACTGGTGTCGGGTCTGCAGCCCCTGGTCTTGAAACCAGCGTCAAGGTAGGTTCCGTGACCGTTTGTGGATCGGATGCTTTAAGGGATTTCTCCCACGAAAAGGATTGAAGACGCTGCAGGTGACGTTTAAGGGCAGGCCTGGTCAGACTTCTTGCACTCAGGGGAGAGGTGAGCCTGACGCTGTTCCCCCAAGCAAAAGAGCCAGCGGGTTTTTTTCCCAGTTTGTCCCCATCTCTATGGGGTGACACAAGGCTTCTTGATTGGGCAGTGGTGCAGACGGCCAATCCGTCCCATGGCCAGTGGTGATGATGCCATGATATGGTACCTGTGTGAAACAGTTGGTGGCACAGATAAATGCCACACAGGAGGTGTCTCTACTTTCTCTCCCATACAGAGATCCCTCAAGAGCACCTGGGCTGCTGCCCACCCCTTCCCAATGGCTTGGGCAGGCTAACCGTGGTGGTCGTGTTGCCACCCAAACCTCATCCGTTGAGGACGTGGTTCACATGTACCTGTGTGAAACAGTTGGTGGCACAGATAAATGCCACACAGGAGGTGTCTCTACTTTCTCTCCCATACAGAGATCCCTCAAGAGCACCTGGGCTGCTGCCCACCCCTTCCCAATGGCTTGGGCAGGCTAACCGTGGTGGTCTGTGTTGCCACCCAAACCCCATCCGTGGAGGACGTGGTTCACAGCGTGGAGACCACAAAAGCATGGAACGAAGCCTAGACCAAGTAAATATTCTTACTGTTTGGCTAATGCATGTGTGTGTTCTGTGCTGTCAAGTTGGAACCGACTTGTAGTGACTCTAATAAGGTTTTCGAGGTAAGTGAGATACTTAAGGAGTAGTTTCACCAGTTCTACTCTACCAGTGTAGAGTAGAAGTCATAAAACACAAGTCATGGGCCAGGGTGTGGACTCGCCTCCCTCTATTACCATCTCCACACAAGAATTGGAGGTTGTTCATGACTTTGTGTACTTGGGCTCAATGATTTATGACATTCTCTCCCTAGAAGTCGAGCTGGATAAACGCATTGGGAAAGCAGCTACCACGTTCTCTAGACTCACAAAGAGAGTATGGCTCAATAAGAAGCTGACAGCATACACCAAGATCCAGCTCTATAGAGCCTGTGTCCTGAGCACACTCCTGTCCTGCAGCGAGTCCTGGACCCTTTATGCATGGCAGGAGAGAATGCTGAACATGTTCCATATGCGTTGCCTCCGATGCATTTTTGGTATCACCTGGCAGGACAAAGTCCCAAACAGAGTAGTCTTAGAACGAGCTGGAATTTTCAGCATGCATAATTTACTGAAACAGCGAGGTCTACGTTGGCTTGGGCATGTCGTGAGAATGGCTGATGGCCGGATTCCGAAAGATCTCCTGAATGGAGAATTAGTGCAGGGAAATTGCCCCAGAGGGAGACCACAACTGCGATACAAGGAGATCTGCAAGCGGGATCTGAAGGCCTTGGAAATGGACCTCAGCAGATGGGAAACCCTGACATCTGAGTGTTCAGCCTGGAGGCAGGTGGGGCATCATGGCCTTTCCCAATTTGAGGAGACCCTTGTCCAGCAGGCCAAGGAGCAAAGAGGCCATCCCAAAAGCAGCAAAATCAGGACAGAGGACGGATGGTGTTTGTCCTCAGTGTGGAAGGGATGGTCACTCTCAAATTGGCCTTCTCAGCCACACTGGACGCTGTTCCAAGACCTCCATACCGAGCATGTTCCCATTGTCTCTCGAGACTGAAGGATATCTAATCTATACCAGTGACTCTCTATGGCTGAGCAGAGATTCGTACCCTGCTCTCCATCACTTGTCCATCACTCTATCCACGACACCACAATGGGATGTATACAGCACTCAGGAATCTGTGGCATGCCCAACTGGCCCGTTCATATGGGGGTATATACAATTGTCTTGTGCTTTGTCAAGGGCATATAAACACTATGTGTCAAGGAAAAACTGAGTGAATAAAAAGATTTTTAAAATAGGCGAATAATTTTTCATTTTGCATTTTATTGACAAGTACGGTTTTGGACAGACAGGTGTTATCCCTGGAGAGCTGGAAGGAGAGAGATTTTCAGACAGATGATGATTTATTTTTCTTTCTTTCTTTCTTTTCATTCTTTTCTTTCCCTGTGAACTTAATTTATCTTGTGTACATCATTTTGACAGATCCCAAAGAGGCATGGTGATATAAACCTGCCCTTAGATGTAAAGATTTATTCCTTGGGTTGATTTGTAAATAAATATATATATATATATTGGATGTCTAATGCCTTGATGGGGTGTCATTGCTTTTTAGGGCCAGAAGGGAAGTGGATGGCAGCGTATCAGCTAGAACAATATCTTTGTGTGACGGTAGCAGAGCCCACAAAATGAACCAAGGGGTCACGCAGGCGTTTAAGAAGGACACTGTGTAGTGTATTCTAGTGTAAAACCAGTAACAAAAAGGGGCTGGTACAGCCACCCAGGCTGCAGGGAAGGAGCGACATCCTGTAATCCTAGGATGTGAACATTATAGAATGTGTTAATTCCAAATAAAAGTCTGACGTGTTTTGGCTCGGCCTTTTGAGCCTTCTCGTCTATTTTATGTGATATAACCCTTGAAAAGGCCAAGCTGAAATGGGCTGGGCTCTTCTTTTGGAAATAATTCCATTCTGGTGTGCCCAACCATTCCATGAAAAGTACTTAATGATTCTTTTTTGCAGTCCACCCACCCACACACACACACACTTTTGCTAGAATTAGCAAGCTACTGCCCTGCAAGGTAGGCCAACAGGAGAGAGAGCACCCAGTCACACCTTTTGCCTGCTCCCTCACCTTTTGCTGGAAGAAGCCACTCCACGTTGCTGCGAGGTAGGCCACAGGTGAGAGACACACACACCCGTTGAAACCACCAGAAAAGGCTGCCCTGTTAACAATGAGGCTGCCCCTCCCAGCCATGCCAGTCTCTTGCCACTGTGCACTCCTGGCCCATTTGTCCTGCTTTGCACAGGCTGTGCTTGGTGGGGGGCTGAGTAACCTAAAATACAAGGTAAAGGTAAAGGTTCCCCTTGACAATTTTTGTCCAGTCGTGTTCGACTCTAGGGGGCGGTGCTCATCCCCGTTTCCAAGCCATAGAGCCAGCGTTTGTCCGAAGACAATCTTCCGTGGTCATATGGCCAGCGTGACTAGACACGGAACGCGGTTACCTTCCCACCGAGGTGGTCCCTATTTATCTACTTGCATTTGCATGCTTTCAAACCGCTAGGTTGGCGGGAGCTGGGACAAGCGACGGGCGCTCACTCCGTCGCGTGGATTCGATCTTACGACTGCTGGTCTTCTGACCCTGCAGCACAGGCTTCTGCCGTTTAGTCCGCAGCGCTACCACATCCCTATACAATTTTCAAGGAGACACCAGAGAAGGGACATGGAATGCCATGGAATAGTAGGATCGTCTCCTAGAACAGAGGGGAGAACATTAAGGACCTGCTCTGGATCGCCTCGTCTTTTCTACATGATGACAATGGCTCTGTTGCTGCTAGTCCTCGCCGTAGGAATCTTTGCTGAGTTTGCTCATGATTTATATAGTTTAATGATGTGCATTAAATTATATCAGATTCTGCCATAATCTGATACAGGCCGACATTCCAACCCCAGCCATTTGATGTTCATGCAGAAGCCAATCCTCACCGCTTACGGATCAGCCAACCTCACCATCTCATGTGCTCTTCCCTGCCAGATTTTGTAGCAGAACTGTGGTGCTTTGTTTTCTCCTAGTTTTGTGCTGAAAATGCAGAAAAATGTTTTTCACATGTATTATCAGAAGTGGTTGCTAGAGGGAGCCAGAGATCTTGCTACACTACATAGCATGGTCTCTCTCCGAGGGAGCCAGAGATCTTGCTACACTACATGGCATGGTCTCTCTCTCCCTCTGGTGGCCAGTTCTGGTAAATACATTGTAAAAGCACATATTTCTAGTTTTTAAAATATTTTCATACTGGATAAGGAGTCATACTATACAGTGGTGCCTCGCTTAGTGATGTTAATCCGTGCAGCAAAAATCGCTGCTAAGCGATTTCATTGCTAAGTGATTTTTAAAAGCCCATAGAAATGCATTAAAACGTGTTTAATGCGTTCCTATGGGCTTAAAAACTAACCTTAAGCGAAGATCCTCCATAGGGGCAGCCATTTTCAGTGCTTCTAAAGCGAGGCAAAACAGTGGGCAGCCATTTTGTTTTTTGGGTGGCCATTTTGAAACCGCCGATCAACTGTTTAAAAAGGGTCGCTTTGCCATGATCGCTTCCCCGCGATCATCGCAAAGCGAATTTTACCCATAGGGACCATCGCTAAGCGATCGCTAAGCGATTCCATTGCTCAACGGAGCGATCGCTAAGCGAGGCACCACTATATTCACTTGCAAAGTAAACCCCCCGTCAATGAATAAAATGGGAAACTTACATCAATTTAGATAAAGGTCAAATTTTCTTTAGTGTTTTCTAGCCCCTTTCATCTGAGCTACTTCAATGATCAGTGCCTTTCAAGAGGATAGATTTTTTAAATTTATATGCCACCCACTCTACCCAAAGGTCTCTGGGTGGCTTACAACAATAAAAATATAAGAAAAGTATAAAACAATTAAAATACAATTAAAATAGATACTCTAAAAATTGCCATCAGGACCCACAGTTGATATTATTTCAATTAAAAGTTTATTTTGACTCAAGCAACTGAGTCAATTAACAGTTAAAAGCAACTGAGTCAATTAAAAGCAACTTTCAATTGAAAGTTTATTTTGACAAGCAGCTGAGTTGATTTTGACTCAAGCAACTCAGTCTATACTGTGCAGTTATAGCAGTCTGATTCCACTTTAACTGCTGTGGCTCCATCCCTCTGGAATGCTGGGATTTGACAAAGCGCTTACAATTCTCTGCTGTAGTTTGGGTTGGGTGTAAGCTGTAGATCTCGCTGGTAAGAGAATTCCAACCTGCAAGTCTCCAGATGCCATTTACACGGCAATTTTCAGAGATGGAACACTTAGTAGAAAAGGGTGACTAGTTTTATAAGTTTTAGTGATTTGATACTGAGATAGATATAGAATTCACTAGCAATTAAAACAAGTCTTTTAAAAGAAAACATACACCCTCAACATGGGGTGTGTGAAGACCTATGTGGGACTGGGACTTCTATCAGCCCCAGCCCAGAGGCCCCATGCTGAAGAATGCAAGGGATTGCAGTGCAACATGTTCAGGACGACAAGTTGGCTGTCCTGATTGGAAGCACGCTCCCTAAGCGAGACCGCCGCGACAGACAGGTGAATAAAGAGAGCAGATTTAATGTCGAAAAACCAAAACGGCTCGAGGTGGCAGAGATGGCTGCTTGAACCACGCCGCTCCTGGATCTGAAGTAAGAAGTTTCTCTTCCTCCAGCTACTTTCCTGTGTATTCAAGAGACTTAACACCTGAAATGTACTTTTGTTTCAATGATTTTATTTTAAAAAAATTAAAGACCTCCATGGCACAACTTGTTCTCAGCACAGTCGAAGGGTTAGTTTTAACAATGACAATACAATTACAACCAATAAATTCCAAAGGGGGTGGGGGAAGAGAAGAACCAAAATTCTAAATTTTAACGAATAAAAAGGATCACTTCAAACAAGATTTTAAAAAACCTTTTTTTCCAAAAAAAAATATTTAAAGTTAAGTTGCCAACAGGACTATTTGTATTGGCTTTTTGTTTTTCCTGCCCATCTAACACAATGCAGAAAAAAAATCAGGAAGTGCTGAGAAATTTAAAAAGAAAGTGTTCTGATACAAGGTATACAGATGAGGTAATTTACAACACAGATGTTGTTGTTACAATCTGCCATCTCCTTTGCGCCCCTTCCCGCTGCCCGTTTTGGCAGCGACACCGGTTGAAAGCACAGAGAAGAAAATAAAGTCTTGCGATCACTCCCCTAAACCACAAACCTTAACATTTCTCCCCTCTCACATTTTAAGGTTCGGCGGTTACTAGGATTCCACCCTCCTCCTCGGTTGCACTCGCCAGCTTCAACCCGACACCCTCTGCTCTTCTCCGGCAGCAGAGGAATCTGCCACACGACTTTTCCTCACTTCAAAAGCAAGAAGATGGCTTTTTAAAAAAAGTCCTGTGTCGGTTCCACACTAGTGCAAAACATAGGCACAACTGCGCTGCACTTTTCACAGCTACCGACCGTGTCATTGAGGAACGGACCCATCTCTCCGCGGTCTGGCGGCGTTGGGGCCGTTAACATGCTAGGGACGATCCACCACCAGGAAGTTTCCACCACGGAATAAAGAATACAGTTAGTATTGCATGGATTCACAAAGTCATTTCCCAACGGCAAAGCCACTTGCCTAGGGGTTGGGGGTGGGCTGGAGAAGACCTCAGGGGTTACCTGCTCCTTCGGCCCTTCTTCCTTGGCTCCTGCTCAAAGCAGACCCTCCATGCCCTACCAAACCAAGGGAAACAAAGGAAGCAGGAACCAAACGGGAACGGATACACAGCTACCTTAACCCAAACTCTTAAAGTTGCATATATTAGTAGAAATGAAGTGATCCAATGCTTTCAAGACAAGCTGGGGAGGCCTCCTTTGGGCTGTGCGCCTCCTGTATTGGTTGCTGAAGGAGATTGTCCTGGAGAAGCGGGCAGGTGGACATCTCCTGATGTCCTTCCAGTCTCCCCACCCCACCCCAATCAGTGGCTTGAAACTAGAAGCGGGCTGCAGAGGGCCAGCGAGAGTCTTCGGATCCCCCCTCTGCTCCACCCTAAAAATCCTGGTGCCGCCATAGCAGGGAAGGAACTGGCGCGCCACGGACCCTTGTGTTGGCCTGTTTGTTCCAGGGGATGCTTTGGCTTGTGAGATGCTTCTTGTAAGGCTTCTGAGCGTGGTTCGCTACGGCAACCTCCTAGCTGTGCAAGGTGCAAAACTCTGAAAGGAAAGCAGTCTGAGCCCCCCCGTGACGACCTGGTTCAGGGTTTTGAGACTGCAACCAAGTGAAAAGGAACAACCCCAGGGACAGCCTCTCTGCACAGGTAACGCAACCCTAATCTTTGATAAATTAAAAAGGGAGGGGAACCCACAATAGTTTATTTACAGCAAGGAATTCCAACACTGGACATTTCAGCATAGGAAGGACAAGATTTATATATATATATATATTTATATATATGTACACATACATCCACACACTTATATGCACACACACACACACTCGCACAAACAGAGGAGTAAGCCGATGATCTCCACAGTTCAGATTTCTTACAAGTCAATGATTCTGATCTTGTTACGCACCGTTCTCTCCTTCCCTCACCGCTCTCCATTTGCCTGCCCATGAACAGAGTGGGAGAAAAAAATATCCCCAAATTCAACACAGGACAGCAACCCTCACCGGATGGCACACGGAAAAGGGCGAGCAGATGAACGGATGAGGGAGTAAAGGCAAGTCACCTTCTCCCGCATCAAGTCTACATGGACCAACTCGGAAGGGAGCAACCGGACAGAATGAATGAAGGAGAGAAAATGGATGTCTCGTGGCAAATTCATTTCCAGAATCTCGAAGCAAGGAGATGTCAGTGGATCTTGACTGGACTGGGATGGGCAACCCAGAGAATATCGCTACCTCACTGCCAGAACAACTTTCATCCAAATTAACAATTTAGTTATGATGGATCAGAACCCTGGAGATTTTCTGATCAAGCACAGACCACATGAGAGGCAACATGTCTGTGATCCAGATGCTTTTGCAAGGGAAGACCCCATGCCCACAAGAAAGCTACCCCCTGGCAGGCGGCTTCTGCTGCCACTGAAAAGTGTTCGGGGAACCTGCGCTTTTCCTGCTCCATCCATCCGTTAAAGATGCAGAATGAGCTAGGGTGGTTAAAGACTCCTGGGCCAGCCTGCTGCCTTGGGAAGACTAACTCCGTCGGCCTCAAAAAGGCAAGGCGGAGGAAAACAGAAGGGGCCCGTCATTTCCTCCTGCCCAGGCGTCAGTGGGCAGAAGGGATGGGAGAAAGGCGGCTTTCTCGCACCACGAGTGCCAAAACGTTCACGGAGAGAGGACGGTGGGGAAGAAGGATCCACAAAATGCTCCATCTGTGGGTTTTGTCAGGGATTCCTCTGAGTTACGAAAAGTTCAAGTAAAAAAAGGGGGGTTGGTTTTTTGAGGATTCGGCCTATCTTTTTCATTTTTTTTATGACTGATCTACTATAAATCCACAAGCAACTGTTCAGACCCACTTCCTCCAGAGCATTCCACCGCACGGGGGCGGCAGGAGGCGGCGGCGGTGTTCCTGGGGAAGGTGGGGGAGGCGCCGGCCCAGGCCTCCCCACTCATCTCCAGCCGGGCCCCTGGGAGACAGGCAGCCCTCCTTCACTGCTGAGCCCCGGCAGCAGCTGGAACTGGCAACCCAAGGGTGTTGGCCGCAGCGATGACAGGAGAGCCCGCCAGAGGTCCAAGGGGCAAAGACGTTGGCACTGAAGAAATCCCTGGAGAGGAGGGAGGGGAAGAGTTAAAAAGAGGGAAGCCCCCAAGAGCACATCATCATCAGCACCACCACCATCCCGTGAACTCTGCCTCTTCTCATCTGACCTGCAGCTGACCATGTGGATCAACTGCAGGGAGAAGGCTCTGTTAGTGATTGAAGACCTGGGATGGTATTCAGTCTCTCACATATACATACCTTCCTCTATCACACAACGAGAGCAGCTACCAAACTAGTAACAGCACAGCACTCTGGCAATCCTGGCAGTTTTCTAAGCATGGAGGCAAAAGCATTATACATAGGACCTCCATATCTTTGGGGGGGGATCGGTTCCAAGCTGCTCCATGGATGCTGCATAATGTGGATTCTAGCAAACTATGCATGCCAACCTAGCAGTCCGAAAGCATGCAAATGTGAATAGATCCATGGGGTCTTCCCTTGCAAAAGCATCTAGACCACGGTGGGAACAGACAAAGATCGTCTGTTCCCACAGATGGGGCGGGTGAGTTACAGACAGTTGTCTGTAAGTCACCCTCCCCATCCAAGCAAGCCCTCTGGGCCCCACTCCTCTCTCTCTGTGCCATTACCAAGCCTATGGCATTGGTGTTAAGGTAAAGATTCCCCTTGACATTTTGTCCAGTCGTGTTCGACTCTAGGGCGTGGTGCTCATCCCCATCTCCAAGCAATAGAGCGAGCATTTGTCCTAAGAAGTTTCCTTGGTCACGTGGACAGTGTGACTAGACACGGAACGCTATTACCTTCCCACCGAGGTGGTACCTGTTTATCTACTTGCATTTTTACATGCTTTTGAACTGCATTGGTGTTACTCATGTGTAATTGTGCAGGAAGACCACAATTACTTCATGCCTTTAGCTCAGCTCACACAGAACAGCAGATAAACCAGAGCTGGGAAAGCTACACCTCTCACGATCCTCCAGCCTGTTCATTAAGACTGAAGGGTTCTGGATGCTGTGGTCGAAAGAAGTGGCTTTTCCAGGCTCTGGATAAAACTGCTTTCTGGACTGCAGACCGGCTCAAAAGGTAACAACCGTGTTCTCGGGCCTCCAATCACCCACTCACCTGACAACATATTGGCACTGCTGACAGGAGTGCTACCACCTGGCATGTTGGCGGAGCTCATCCGAGCCTGGTCCTTCACAATGGGGTCTACATATGCAAAACACAAGGAGAACATATTGAGAGAAGAGACCAAGCGAGACATCTTCTGTATGAACCAGGACGGCAATGTTGCACTGACTTTCTAGTTCAGTCAAAAAACTTGGCTTTTGCTGATCTAAAAAAAAAAAAAGCAAGCTTCTAGGNCAGGCCAGGACGGCAATGTTGCACTGACTTTCTCGTTCAGTCAAAAACCTTGCCTTTTGCTGATCTAAAAAAAGCAAGCTTCTAGACCTTAAGCTACAGAAGGGACCTTGAGCAGGCAGATCCCAGAATGACACACGTGGCTTAGGTGGCCCGAAGGAGAGGCAAACGGTGTGCCCATCTGGGAACACCCTCGGCTGCCAGGGTCCAGGACGGCAATGTTGCACTGACTTTCTCGTTCAGTCAAAAACCTTGCCTTTTGCTGATCTAAAAAAAGCAAGCTTCTAGACCTTAAGCTACAGAAGGGACCTTGAGCAGGCAGATCCCAGAATGACACACGTGGCTTAGGTGGCCCGAAGGAGAGGCAAACGGTGTGCCCATCTGGGAACACCCTCGGCTGCCAGGGTAGCAATTCATCCTCAGGCAACTATCCTAACACAGTTTTCAACCTGTAAGTTATCCAGCAGCACCCCTTACTAATTTGTATCAGAACACAGGGCAGTTTTTAACTAAAGTATTCTTACTCTACTTGGTTGCAATTCAACATTTAAACCAGAGGTTTCCAACCTTGAGTCCCTAGGATGGTCTTGGACTGCCACTCCCAGAAATCCCGGCCATCACAGCTAGTCATGAAGGCTTCTGGGAGTTTTAGTCCAAGAACCCCTGGAGAGACCCAAAGTGGGAAACCACTGATTTGACACAAACTTCAGGAAGGGGGGGGTGGACGATGTTTGGCGAGACACGGAGTTACAAGGATTTGGATGAGAAGCTGGGGGCAGGATGCTGAAACCAGGTCCCATCCAGCTCTTTGATCTGTGGGAGTTTTAGTCCAAGAACCCCTGGAGAGACCCAAAGTGGGAAACCACTGATTTGACACAAACTTCAGGAAGGGGGTGGACAATGTTTGGCGAGACGGGGAGTTACAAGGATTTGGATGAGAAGCCGGGGGCAGGATGCCGAAACCAGGTCCCATCCAGCTCTTTGATCCAACTCTTTTGAGATTTTACCATGTGTGGCCCATACATTTTTATGCCACCATTGAAAAAAGAAGATAGAAATACAGTTTTTTGTAAGAGGACAGAACAGACTGAGGCCCTTTTGGGAATATCACGCTGAAGTGGGGGGGGGAGGGAATTCTGAGAACACGTCGTGAACACCAACTTGCGGCTTTAACATCGTTATGTGAGGCACCACTGTACAGTTTTTTTGTAAGAGGACAGAACAGAGTAAGGCCCTTTTGGGAATATCACGCTGAGTTGGGGGGGAGGGAATTCTGAGAACACGTCGCGAACACCAACTTGCGGCGCCAAAGCCCCTCTTTGCTTATCACCCCTGGGCTCACAGAGGGCCAGGCTTACAGAAATAAGGATGCTCCATGGTATGTGAGGCACCACTGTACAGTTTTTTTGTAAGAGGACAGAACAGAGTAAGGCCCTTTTGGGAATATCACGCTGAGTTGGGGGGGAGGGAATTCTGAGAACACGTCGCGAACACCAACTTGCGGCGCCAAAGCCCCTCTTTGCTTATCACCCCTGGGCTCACAGAGGGCCAGGCTTACAGAAATAAGGATGCTCCATGGCTTCTCTCGCCGTGAGGCGGGACTGGTGGTCGTATCGCAGCAACTTGTCTAAGAAATCCAAGGCCTCGGGGCTGACCAGATGCTGGTTTTCACTGTGAACAAAACGTTCCCATCGTTTGCGGGAGTGCCTGTGAGGAAACGACAAGCAGCGGTCACCTCTCAAAATGCTGCCATACAAATTCTTCTCAAGGACTGTCCTTGGAACACCAACCCCGTCCCCTGTTCCTGAAAGAGGCAGGCATTTTGGAACGCAACAGGCAGTCCAGACCTGCGAGACGCAACATAGAGACTGCCATCCCATCAAAACAAAGATACTTTGCTGGCCCTCCATCCCGTCCAGTCCCCCAGCCTTCCACTACACATGCGCACCCCCCCTTCCATCAGTGGAACCCCATTGAGGACCCATTTATTCCAGCGGCACATGTTGAACCGTTATCATCAGCCTACCTGCCCAAGATGTCATTGAAACGAGGGTCAAGCTCGATGTTGTATTTGTCAATGTAATCATACAGGTCTTCTGTCCCCAAAACCTTGGCTATTCTCACCAGCTGTGAAGAGGCAAGCGTGAGACAGCAAGTGAATGGATACTGGTGAAGAGAGCGGGCTGTGAATGGGGACACTGTGCCCACTTGCCCTCCCAGGTGGGTTCAACTCTTGCTTATGCCACAAACTCACTAGGGAGGCCTGAGCAGAGCAAAGACTTGCCACCTGCCATAGGGGAAAAATGCCGATCTTCTTTGAGATTAACGATGCACAACGCTGAATGCAACTACCTGCAACAGCACACTTTTTTTTTGGTAAAACTAAAACCCAAGCCAGGAGGAAGATGCCATCCTAATCAGGGCCCACTGTGTGCACCAAGCGGGTTCTCATGTGCCCACGGCAACTGAGGACAAAAAAAACAACAACAATGTGCCTTGTGATGCCAAGAGAGAAGCTTCCAGAGATGGCCATATCGGTTTTATCCTGGACCACCTGCAACACAGGGGCCTCCAGGTTCTTTTTTTCACTATCAGCCTGTGAAAGAAGAAAAGGAGTTCTTCCTTCCTGTGGCCTTAAGAACAATGCACTTGATTCTAATTTTTAAGAGCGTGGTTTTGCTGATGATCCACACACATCAACTGAACCTAGTCGATCCTTCCGGAAGGCTACTCTGCAGGTTACAGCTACACAAAGGGATATGAACTGCTTCAAGGGCTTCAGAAATGCTGCACTACCACCACTCTTCCTTCACATAAAAAAATGTCTCAGAGGAGACATGTGCTACCATAGAGCAGGGCACGGAAGGTCGTTAATAGAGGTCCATCAAGGAGGTTTGTGAAATCACCTGGTGTTCTAAGATCTTGCCTTGAGTAGGAAGGAGGCTTGCTTTTGCAAAAGGATGGGCCATTTGCAATCTCTGCCCATTTTTGAAGGCTCCTGCGCCCTTCAGATCACAGCCAAATTTGCCACCATTTCCAATGGCAACACACAAACACACAGAAGTCTGGTTTTATAGTGCAATTATGCTCCTGGAAGTGCAAGTCTCCCTTAAAGCAAAGGAAAAAGGGGGGCAATCCCCATCAACATCCCATCAAAATCTGGCAAAATCAGTGAACAAGAATAGACCATGTGGTCCCGAATGATTTCATGGGGGCAACTGGGATGGATCCCATCCTTGGTTGAGGTCAAACTGGACTCCACCCCAGTACAGGTTTGGAAGAGGCTTCTGCCGTTTTAAGAACAGCTTCATCGCTCCAACAGGCAGGTCCTTCTTTGAGCAATTATGAAAACGGGACATTTGGGTCAACGCGGATGCAAACCGCATGGGGAAGTCCATACTTTTCCTGGGAGTTATTTGCAGAGCGAGTCAGCAAGATTTTTAACAAAAGGAGTGCTTACCTACTTAAAAAAAAACCCACACGTAATACCCACCCCACCCCACCCCGTCAGCTGACAGCTAAAGTGTGCTTCCTGAAACGGGCTGCTACAAAGCATCTGTCACGGGAGGATGAACTGACATTTCCACCTCTGACATTTGACCTGTGGTCGTTCCGACTGCATGTGCAAGTTCTCGCTTGATGCTGCACTGGTCAGGTGAGAAACACGAATGCCCGAACCAGACTTGGGTATGAACACCTGACTTTCCTCCTTCCATCCCTTTCACTGACTAAAAACATGCACGTTATACGTTACGGTCCTCAGTGGACAGAAGGCACTTACCTGATCGTAATTATCATGACCGTGGAAAAAGGGCTCTTTCCGGAAGATCATGCTGGCCAGCATGCACCCCAAGCTCCACATATCCAGACTATAGTCATACATCTACAGGGGACAAAAGCAGGTCCATCAGTGTGGGTTCTTTTCCAATTTGCAAGGCGAAGGAAAATCCCATCAGGATCGGCCATAAATATGTGGAAAGCTCCTCTCATTTTTCAGGGGCTGCAGGTAAATTTCCTCCCATGCCTATCTTGTCTGATTTGGGAAGGTAAGCAGGGTAGTGCTTACATGGAAGGTCAACCCAAGAATATCAGTAATCCCCGGGAAAGCAAGGAAAGAGTCATGCTGGATTGGAAAGCCATTGCTGCCTGTCAGAGTTGATACTATCAGACAGGATGGACCAAGTGTAAGACGACCTGTTGATAAGGAAACATCTTATGTTCCAAGAGCTATAACAACATTAATTTCTGGACCTTAACAGCTCTTTCAGAAAGGAAAACTACATGAAAATGAACGGGCTCCTCCATCTGCAAAAACAAGTCTGTTACAGGTGCCACTTGTACGTCCAGAGGTTGAAATTAAGCACAAAAAATAAACATTTTGCACATAACTTGAGACTTCTGCTTACAAAAGTCTAGTGCCTGCTTCATTCCTCGATTCCACATTCACTCTCAAAGTCAGGTAATCAAGGAGGCGGAGGTGGGTGGCACCAATCAGGGTCTTAAGCAGTAAACGTACGATATTTGAAAAACAGCTTTAAATGGAAGAGGAGAAGAATACCACCAAGTAATCATAGACTTCCTAACTTTACGCCGTCTCCAGGAGTAAAATGAATCGGACTGGCAGTGCTAAACAAGTGTCACTGGTCACACGATCTTCTTTCTCTTGTCCCTCCAACCAGCTCTTTTAATGGGCACAATGATCCTGTCGCAGGCTGGCGCATGATCCAAGACCCTTGCCCTTTCTGACACAGAGATATAGCAAAGGGTGGTACCCAACCTGGGTGGATTTGATTTAAATAAAACCGGTATTTTTTTAAAATTTAAATTGTAATTTATATCAATTTGATTTTGGGGGAAAAATCATTGATTTTTATCCACCCTGTACCCAGCTATTCTCTTCAGAGACTTAAAGGCCAATCAAAATTGTATGTGCCAAGGTCCAAAAAAGCAGCATATGGCACACCTAATCGGAGTTTGCTTAACCATTTCCTTTCTGGTCTTGGCTTTGGGAAAGGAGACTCCCAGATGCCCTGAAAGGGACTGGAAGTCCCAGAGGGTGGCTCTACATAAACCTCTGAAATTCTCTGAAAGATTTCAAATGAGTGCAACGCACTGAATTTAACATGCCAAACTGGGGCCTGGTGAAGTGGGGAACCAGCCTTGTTCATCTCCTTTGTCTCAACATCAGACAAAGCACAGTGTACCGCAGGTACTCAAACCACGACGGATGGAATGGCTTGCTCTCGGGTCACTTCACTTACTGATCTGACGGGGCTTAACCATTTTCAGCGGGGCCAGAGTTACCTGGTAATCTACAAGGAGCTCTGGACCTTTGAAGTATCTTGAAGCCACTCGGACATTGTACTCTTGGCCTGGATGATAGAATTCAGCCAAACCCCAATCTATCAACCGCAGCTAAAAACAGATGAAAGAAATGTTAAGAAGGAGAGGAAACGCTTCTCTGGGGTCTGCGGCTCTGAGTCAGTCTCTCCACAGGTTCCGTGAGACTGCATAGATGAGGAAACATTGCTAAGCCTGCAACTAGACTACTGAAGACAAAGACACACCTAATCAGTTCTGGTCAAGCCAACAGTCAGATTCTGGCAACAGGACAAAACCATCAAAAACTAGGTTTTTTTCCTGACAAATACCAATCATTGTATGCTATTACTATTCTTTGACTTGATGCTCACAAAGGACAGTTTAGCCAACAATGTCTGGTAAGAGCAGTACAACATGCGGGCCACCCACTCCTAAATTTAATCGCTATTCACGGCTTTGGCAACTAAGCTAAACTAAAAAACCAAGTATAACAGAAGGTGATGAGCCCGTTTGAAAACAAAACCAACCCAAACACTTCCTCTCCATGAGATGCATTTGAGGTTCCATTCAGTTCATACGAAGTGATCACAAAGAGTGTGCACTTGGGACATGCTCCAGAATCCTTGAAACATGCAAAGTCAGTGGCAAATATCCTGAGATACTTTACCAGGCGAAGAAAACAGAAAATGCTCTGAATAATAATGTGAAAGCCCAACTCTGAACCAAGAGACTTCTGGAGAAGCCAATGATTGTTATCAGTTTCACCAGGAGGTTCTTACCAACCCACCTGCAGCACAGGTAACACTGCCACGGAAGCCTAAGATGCATTTAATATATTTCTTAAAAATATTTATCTATCACTGTTTTGCCCAAAGAGGGCCCTATAAAGCTAAAACTGAACAAAACCAGTGACTCGCCCAAGGATTTCCGACAAGGCCATCCCGCTTACCTTTCTGTGCTCATGGTCAATCATGACGTTGTGAGGCTTGACATCTCTATGCATGATGCCCATACTGTGGCAGTAATCCAGAGCCTGGAATACAGAAAGACACATCAGCCACAAAGAAGGGGAGCCCTCGGGATATTCCATTAGCTTTATCTCAACCCTGCGAAGCTCTGTTCCACTTTTCACTCCTAAAGTCTTCTTCTAAACTACCGACAAGTTGCAACCTCCAAATATTGCTCAGCGCCACTGGCTGACCTCCCTTTTCCTGCAGACTCCAGATTTCTGACGCACGGGGGGACATGAACTGGAAGCGAAGGGTGGGAAAAAGCTAAATGCTTCAGAATCTAGAGCAATTATAATATAGTCTGCTTCCAACTCCTCTTCCTGCTTTCAATGTCACCCTGCTCACCATAACGTTGGTTCAATTGTGTGGGCGGTGCGTGGCAGGAAGGAGGGGGCAGCCACAAGCCACCCTGGGACTGGGATCTCTAAGGCACTGGTTCTTAACCTGAGGAGGTGAGCAGGTGTCCTAGATCACTGGTTCTTAACCTTTGTTACTCAGATGTTTTTGGACTGCATCTCCCAGAAGCCTTCACCATCAGCTCTGCAGGCTGAGGTTTCTGGGAGTTGCAGTTCAAAAACACCTGAGTAACAAAGGTTAAGAACCACTGCTCTAAGGGACTAAGGAAGCCCATAATCTCATGCTCAGGAGCCATGCTTTAGTACAGGAACGGGCAACTAAGGACAGAGAATTCAGGAGCTAGACCTCAGCAGGCTGCATCCATATATCACTTTCTTTTTTTAAAAAAGAAAAAAACTAAAGTGGATGACAAGGTCACCTTGGTTTGGTTTATAAATACAACCCCATCTCCCCGAAAATAAGACCTAACCTGAAAATAAACCCTAGTAGGATTTTTCAGGATACTCGTAATGTAAGCCCTACCCCAAAAATAAGCCCCAGTTAAGTGAAACCCCGCCCTCCACCATTGTGCAGCAACCAGAAGATGATGACATGACTGTAAAATAAAACATCCCCTGAAAATAAGCCCTGATGTGTTTTCTGGAGCAAAATTTAATATAAGACCCTGTCTTATTTTTGGAGAAACACGGTACTATGGGTGGACAAAAGTGTGGAAGAATAATTAAAATTGACAACTGCCTCCCTCAACAGCAGTGGTTCCCAGATGTTCTTGGGCTGCAGACTCCCAGAAGCCCTTGGCAACAAAGCTACTGCCAAAGGATTCTGGGGGGTTTGGTTGGGAACCACTGGCCTCGAGGCTTCTTTGTTGATTATTTATTTTTTTAAAGGCAATTCTGCTCACCAGCTGGAGAGGCACACAGGTAAATCCCTACTTTAACACTTCACACCCATACAGGATGCTTAGTAACTAGAAGCAAGTCTTAGCAGCCACCACACTTCAGGACATGAATGCTAACACTTTTGTTGTTATGTGCCAAAAAGTTGTTTCTTGCTCATGGTAAAACTACAAAAGGCCCTCTTCAGATCCAGCAAACTACAGGCTGGGTCTTCCATTGCTGAGTCAATCCATCTCATGTTCATTCTTTCTTCTTCACCTACTGTCTTCCACTTTTCCCAGCATGACTTTCTTTGCCAGCAAATCTTGTCTTTCTCAAGATATGTGTAAAGTACGGCAGCTTTTCCCAGCATGACTTTCTTTGCCAGCAACTCTTGTCTTTATCAAGATATGTGCAAAGTACAGCAGTTTCAATTTAGTCATTTTAGCTTCTAGTGAAACCTCCAAGCCTGATTTGATCTAGAAGCCACTTACTTCTCTTCCTGCTCATCCACAGTATCCATAAAGCTCTCCCTCTGGAACATCACATTTTAAGTGAATCAATTTTTCCTTGTAAGTCTTTTTCACTGTCTAGTTTCCCATTTCACTCCCACTTAAAACACTATAGGTAAGAAATTATACTAGGTGGTTGGAATGGCAGGCTCTGACCCTATCTACCACTGTCTCCTAGAGTGCAACAACAGACCAAGCATCAAGATAGGATTCCTGCCATGTTTCTTAGAAAGACAGACTTGGATATCCTGCTTTCTAGTCCTACTGGCTATCATCTGTCAGCTGCCTTTACACTTGACTCAGTAACAAACAAGGTAAGAAGCGAAAGCAAACTCACCTTCAAGATTTCGTACATGTAGAACCGAATATCATAGTCCGTTAATGTTTGGTATAATTGCTGTTGAAGTTCAAAACATCATTGTTAATACCAATATCTCACTGAAGCCATCCAATTCCTAAATCAACAAGATTGGGGTGGCTGATCTTCCCCTTTCTTCCCGTGGAATATGAGGTCTGTTGCATGTAGTTTCAGGGTTTGAGGAGATTTTAAGAAGAGATCAAACAAGCTGGCCCTTCGCTATTCACTCAACACTGGTTTGGTATATTCACTTTTCTACCATCTTTTTGTTTTAAGGGCCCAGGCATGATTTTGGGAGCATACAGTTCGAAAGGCACGGGGCAGAAGGGTCTCACCAAAGGCTGGCAAGACCTGAGCAAAAGCCCCCTCAGGCTTTTACAGATTACAGAGTAACTTGGGGCCAGTCACTAGGTCGTAACCTACTTTATAGGCTTGTTGTTAGGGGTTACGATAAGGGGAGTGAGGGCTTCAGGATCCTGGCTGACACATCCGGGAAAGAAGGATAAAACTGAACTGGCAGGTCTTGCAATATAAGACAGGATGCAGGCCTTTGCAAATCGGACTTTTGATCCAATCAAAGTAACCGGCAGAGATTACACCAATAATGCACTAAAATGTTCCGTTTCCTATTGATTCTGTACATTTTTGCTGAAAAAAATATCTCCATTTGCAAAAGTGAAGAGAGGGTATTCTCTCCAGCACTGTAGGCAATTACTGGATTTATAACAGAATCATAAAAACACCTTGTAACTGCAGGGCTGAGGGGAGGGGGGGGTCCCACTCGATCATAGAGTCCAGCTCCTCTCAAGGAGGCACAGTGGGGAATCAAACTCCCAACCTTCAGCTATGCGGGCACAGACAGACACCACTGAGTTTACTATCCCAGGTACCACACTGTTGTGATTTCTTTCTCTCTACAAAGTGTATCAACATGCGGAGATTAGCATGCAATTAAAAGTTTGGCCAATACCAGTGAGTGGCAAACTGTACCTTAAAGTCTGTGTTGTTGACATGTTCAAAAACCAAGGCAGGGGTCCGTGACTAGAAAGAGGAAAGAAACACATCAGTCTTTGCTTTGGGTCCTCTGCCACATTCTTCATACACTGCTTAAAGACCTTTTGCAAATTTATATCCTTTCACCTCTTCAGTCATTTTCTTTCCCCAGATGTTTTCACAGCTTCACTATCTTAATTCAATCAAATGGGTCGGCACACACATCGAGGAGCAGTAGGTGGGGGCAGCGGGGGAGGAGGTGAGAAGGTTCCTTCAGGGGAAGCTAATCTGATTGAAATCTGGATCCGATTAAGGGATTCAAAACCAGGGTTTAAAAAAAAAGGAAGGAAGGAAACCAGGAGCAAGATTGTGTGGTATTCTCGCTGCATCCCATGATCAACAGATGCCCCAAATGCCAATGAGTCTTGCATATTTAAAGCACTAAATATTCTCTTGCTTAAGTCTTTATTTGAGACAGCTGGTATGTGTGCATAACTTTGTGCTTTCCTTCATCCCATGTCTGTGGACCTGCTAGAATCCGGCACTCAATGGTAGACACTCTCTGAGCAAAGAAGCTGTTTCAAGCTCAAGATTCACACACCAGCAACAATCTATTCCTTGAATTTATTTCACTAATTTAGAAGGTAACACAGACATTATTTCTCTCCGGGCAGTCCTCGTCCCACAGTGGCGGAGATACTCACCACAGGATCTTTCACGATATCAGCAAGGGTGATGATGTTGGGGCCACCCCTCAAATTCTCCAAAATTTTGATTTCACGTTTGATTTTCTTCTTTTTCACAGGCTGTTAAAAAAAAGGGGGAATGCAAAAATTGCTACACGTGACGTTGCAAGTCCAAGAAAAGCAAATTGGGGGGGGGGGAGAACATTTTACTGTAAAAAGTGCTGCTGCAACCAGTTCTCATTATAAATTTTCAGAAATAAGTCCTAAAAAAACTAGCTAGTTTTTTTTCCTCTAAAGTTCTGAATTATATTATTTTAAAAGGGTGGAGTGCCACCTTGAAAAGTTAAGCCTCAGGTTAAAAAAGCATGTGTGTCAATCCACAAGCAACAAACCCAACAGAGGACTGCTGTGTCAGACGATGGATGGGTCAGATGAAAGTGCCCCCTTAAGGCTAAGGTGACAAGCCATGATGGGGATGCGTAATCTCCAGGTTTCGAAGGAAGGGACTTCCAAATGCCAAATGTAGGGAAGAGGGATCAGGAGACAGGGATCTTGCGGTCTCTGGTGGGCTCCCAGACAGGTTTCGAAGGAAGGGACTTCCAAATGCCAGATGTAGGGAAGAGGGATCAGGAGACAGGTATCTTGCGGTCTCTGGTGGGCTCCCAGACGCATCTGGTGGGGCCCCTGCGATACAGGGAGCTGGACTAGATGGGTCCCTTGGCCTGATCCAGCAGGGGGCTCTTCTTAGGTTCTTATGTTAAAAACTTCATTCAAGAGTGAACAAGGCAACCCAAAACATTTAAAACCAGAACAGCCTTCTCATGTGGCACACGTATTTAGTTCTGACATCACTGTCCCTGGAGACTGACTTCTTATCATAGATTGCAGACACCAGTAAGACTGTCCAATATGCATTTATAAGATATTTTGTAAATGGCTCAGCAGCCACCACAACCTGCTGTCTACCTTACACTCTAGGCCAGTGCTTCCCAACTTTGGATCCCCAGATGTTACTGGATAGAAATCCAGGTCAGCAGAGCTAGTGGCAAAGGCTTCTGGGAGTTTTAGTCCAAGAACCTCTGGGGGCCTCAAAAGGTTAGGAACCACTGCTTGGGTGGAGAAATGCTACCTTTCTTCTGACCACTTCTTTCGCTGACTGGGCTACGAAGACCCAACCACCGACTTCTAATGACCTACTAAATTTTGAGGTTTGCTGCTTGTGATCTACACAGTAATACCCCTTTGATGCTACGTCATCTACAATACAGCAAAGAGATTTGCTCTTTTGAGACCGAAAACAAGGTAAAACTGCATGGGATATGCCCATACTGTCAGGAGCATCTAAAGAAGCCTTCTACATGCAGGCTACGGAGACGTCATTATCCTAAAACTCATTATTAATTGATTATACTAATGATAAAACCCAATTGCATTTTATAATCTGGGAGGCCGAATAATTTTTATCTTTCTGCTTATCATGGCTCACTGCCTGTCCTGTTTGCCCAGTTACTGATGCTTTTGTATTCCTGCCACTAAAACAGACCATCGCCACCCGTTTCTAGAGTTTGCTTTTGGACTCACGGCAAGGGTTCCTCCAGGAACAGCCTTCCCCAACGAGACGCATGTGAAATGGGTTAGACTACAATACCCATTGTTATCAGCCAGCATGGCCAGGCTGCCTGGGAGCGATGGGATCTGCAAGCCAGCACCTGGCAGCTACTAAGTTGGAGAAAGCTAATGGAAAGGCTCGGCTGGAAAGGCTCAGCGAACCAAGTGGCGGATGTCACACCTCTTACTGTGCAGCTGTTGTGCTGTCTGGGGGAAATTAAGCCAGGCCACCTGCTCCGCCATCTGCCTGGGCTTGACTCAAAAGCTGAGCCTTTAAAAAAGAAAGAGGGGTGGAAAAGGGCACACTAGACAGGCCCT